TGTATGATATGATAGTTTTCTTATGTAGCGGGACAGTCTGATAAGTTTTCGTATCTCATACACTAAAGTAATTTGACCGGCTGGTCGTGTCTTTATCGTTTTAAGTTGCAGTTACAACTGCATTTGTCGGTATTTGTTAAGTTACGTTAGTTTTTCACGTGCCTGCGCGAAGTTGCTCTTTTTTAAGCACCGCAAATTACCAGTGCAAGTCACGATTTGCAGTGCCGGAAACTGCGATTTCAAGTCATTGAGAGAAAATGTGGACTTTTTGACCAATTTTCACGTATTTTTATCTACGTTGATCCGAACTTCTAGCTTATTAGGATGATCCAGACTTAACGGCTACATTTCATTTCTAGCTCCCCCTAGTCCTCTAAAGTCCTCTAAAGCTGTCATTCCTCATAGTCATGCCTCTTTCGGTTTTGTACTTGAATGCCGGAAAAACCTGCTTTTGGATCCATCATTCAGCAGTTGATGGTTTGTACAAAATTTGGTAGATGGCTCAGTTGTACTACAGTTGAGCCTATCTGTTCGTACCGGTACCGTAACCGAAATCATGATTTCTGAAAAGTCTGCTTTTGTGGGTTGAGGGAAATAAATGACTCGACAGACTGCGACTTTTGCGACAGACGACTTCAAATTCGAAGTTCGTAAATTTTGGCCTCATATTAAGAATTACAGGCATGCTTTACGGCCTCATATTGCAAATGATCAGTTTTGTAAATCATTAGATTGCTTACTTGCTGATGAATGTGTGGTTTTGAATTTGACATTTGAAGCGCAAAGGGAAGAGAAGAAAAACATTGGCGAAGCGCACTGGCGGTTTCGTGCGATCATGCGTTTTTGCAGTGTTTCGTGCTGCAATAAGATCACTCGAAATTCCGCTAGCTAGAAATCTCTTGTGCATACTGGTCCTCGAATTTCGGGAAGTTAATTATCCACGCTGTACTTGGACAGGGACCATTCCCTTGAAATCCCAGGTTCGCAGCTATCTCATTTCCCGAGTTACCCAAATTCCAGCCATAAATTTTCACGAAGCCGTACGTGGCAACCACGCATAACGGGGGGTGAGGGCTGAATTTGATAAATTTAAGTTGTAGACGGGTTAGGAACATTTCCTGAAAATTTCAGCCTCCCAGCTCCCCTGGTCCCGTAGTTAGCCATTTTCTCGCGAAAAACTTTCACGGGGCCGTATGCGGGAACCACGCATAACGGGGGCATGAATTTGATAAATTTAAGTTGTAGATGAGTTGGGAACATTTCCTGAAAGTTCTAGCCTCCCAGCTTTCTTGATTTCTAAGCTGGCGATTTTCGCGCCAGGAACCCTCACGGGGTCGTACGCGGGAACTACGACCCCCGGGGGCTGATTTTGAAATCTTTGAGTTCTACTTGGACTGGAAATACAATCCCAAAATTTCAGCTTCCTAGCTTTTCTGGTTCTCGAGTTAGCGATTTTCCCGCCACAAATTTAAGGCGCTTATACGTGGGGCCTAGACGTGCTTGAGAGTTGGTACCGCGGTCCTGGGGTGGCACTTAGCCGGGGAACCCACTCCCAAAATTTTGGCACCGAAGCTTGCCTGGGTGCCGAGTTGAAATACCCGGACAGACGTACACACACACACGCACGCACACCGGGTTCGTCACAATATGTATTTTTGCATATGATGCAAAAACGCATAAAAACGGAAACTCGTAAATTGGACATGGACATGGTGCTCGCTTAGTTCACACGTAGTTGTTTCCCTAACTACATCGACGGCTTCGTACGGTTGGTCCAGACGATTTTAATGATAAGTTATCGAGGAATGCTGGATATTTTAGTTTTTTTTCTTTTTTTTTTTGTAAGATATACTCGCAGCGGGATTCTAGGAGCATAACTTGAAAAATGGAAATTTAGTCAGGCTTATGCTTGGCTAGTACGGGTGATTCGCTGAGCAGGTGTGCCAGCGTTTCAGTGGGAACAACTAGAATAAATTTCTCAGATTTTTTTCTACTTTTTTAGTGCAATATCCTTCTTCCATTACTAATCTTTTGAAACTTTCCAACCTTCTATTCCCTGTGCTGTCGTTCTGAAAAGTCACGCTTGTTTATGTCAATGAAACGACTCTTTTGTTCCATTGCTTCTTCATACGATGGCGCAAGACAAAGAAGTGAGGTCAACGTGAATGGAGGTCAGAATGAGTCTTCGCTGCTAATGCAGTATGGCCATGAGAATTACTCAGCATCATGAAAGTTACGTGTTACTTCACGTGCAAAGAGAAAATGCAGATGGTTTTCACTGACATTAGTATGCGTTATAGATAACGTACTGGACGCAAATCAACAGAAGCAACAACGTGTTTCACGTACCATTGAACGCATTTTACACCTCAAGTTTGTCAAAAATCGTGAAGCGATGGATGAATCATCAACATCCACTTCCACACCGACCACGCCATCTCCGCCGGACGTGGAAAAGTCAAAAATCAAGCGAAGCGCCAGTGATGTGAACAGTGATCTTCAGAACGATCTCGAGTTCGTTTGTTATTTGCAAATTAGCTAATTTACTATTAGCTAAAATCTTCTTTTTTTTGTGGAAATGCTGTTGGAAAGTTTCTATGTGACATAGTCGGGTT